TCTGGTTAGGTCTCACCTTGAGTACGCCTCTGTCATTTGGTCTCCTCAGACAGAGGCCAACATAGATCTTTTGGAGAAGGTCCAGAAGCGGTTTCTGAGATACCTCTACTATAAAACTAATAACATTTACCCATACCTCGTTTCTTACAGGAGTATGCTGACTACTTATAATATTCAGTCTCTAGAAGTAAGGCGAAAAATTGCTTCAGTACTGTTTATACATTACATAATAAACAACATAAAATTCAAGTCTTGCCTTTTTATCAATAATATAAGCTTCCATGTTCCTAAAATATATTTAAGAAAAAAAAACGCTGATCTGTTTTACTGTGATACATTCAACTGGTCAGTACTGACGTCAATGCAGTATCAGTGTAATGTATTAATTGATAAGTTTGATATTGACATGCACAATGTGGATGTCCAAAAGCTAAAATCTTGTTTTAATTTATATTGATGATTTGTAGTAGTGTATTTTTCGTAGTTTTAGTTTTAGTTTTAGGTAGATTCTAGGGATTCTGTTAGTTATAGTAACCCTTACTTGTCATTATCAACTTGCTTGATGTTTGTAAGATGTACCTGTAAATAAATAAATAAATAAATAAAACTCAACGAAATGTTCCAAAAAAACTAAGCACTCAGCCTCAGTTAGTGGAGCTAGGTTTTTATTATACCAACACAAATTCATTATTAACAAAAACCTCTGAGCTTCACGCTGAGATCTCAAGATGGGAGCCACTTCTCATACTTGAATCAGAAACATGGTTACATCCAGGAATACCTGATAGCATGATCAATTTCAACAACTACTCAGTGTATAAAGGCAACACAAACGCGGAGGAGGTGTAATCATATATGTCAAGGATGTACTGAATGATCTAAAAATACTGATTTCAGTGAAACAAACCACCCAACCTCCCCAAGACATTAATTCCTTACTACTGGAAATCAAAATTTCTAATTACAAATCCGGTCATGCTTGTTTATATCAACCACCAAATGTTGCTCCAGAGGTGAATGAAGATTTTATCAGCTATCTGAACAACATAACAGCCAGCTCAAGAGAGATAATAATATTTGGAGATTTCAATTACCCAGAGATCAACTGGAAAACGCTCTGTCCCACTTTAACCACGCCTCAGAGGCCTTGATACAAGAGTGAGGAAATACCAACAATCCCTTCTTGATCTATTGTTAACAAATGATAAAAAAACTCTTTATTAAAATCACATCAGAACCTTCCCTTGGACTCAGTGACCATGTAGCAATTTATGCGGTAGCCCAGATCAAAATAAATGAAATATCTACATGCAAGATAAACAAGCGCAACTTCTGGAAAGCTGATTCTGATCAACTCAACGAAACTATAAGACAAACTATTTTTACCAATGATATGGACAATGGCATCAGAACCATACAAAATATTTTTGAAGATTATATTCCTCTAAAAAGTGTAACAAGCAATTCGCAAAAACCCTGGATTTCAGACCGCATTTCTAAACAAATAAAGAAAAAACGAAAACTATGGGATAGGTACAGAAATACAAAAAAAAAAAACGAGGTGTATCAGGCATATATGAGTCACAACAATCATCTGAGAAATCAGTTTAAACAAGAACAAAAACATTATGAATCTGCTCTGCTAGAAAGAGCTGATAAATATTTTTACTCATATATTAAGCACTTTCCAAGTATGCCAATAAACACAAAATGCTTAGACGAAATATCAACTATCGCCCTTTCTTCTGATATAATTTTGTATATATTGAAGCATGTTACAAAAGATTCGAGTCCGGGGCCAGATCAGATTCCTGCTGTCTTTCTGGAAAACTGTCGGGATTCTTTGAGCTGTCCACTGTCTATCGCCATGGAAGCCCCTTTTTTTCTGAAAACACATTTCCAAATACTTGGAGTGAAGCTATAATTACACCTCTGTACAGGGTGTCAAGTTATAAAGTCACCTGTAACTTTTTTATTTTTGATCGTACATAAAAAAGTTACAGGTGGTGGTACTTTATAACTTGACACCCGGTACAAGAAGGGTGATAAATACAATTCGGAGAACTATAGACCCATCAGCCTAACTTGCAGCCTATGTAAAGTTATGAAGAAGGCAGTTGCAAGGGAACTTACGAAGTTTTTTCTGAATAATAATGTTCTACCCAAAAATCAGCACGGATTCCTCCCCAAACGCTCAACTATAACGAATCTGCTAACGAATGTCAACCAATGGACTGCTGAAGTTGACGCTAGAAACCCTGTCGACATTATATACCTCGATTTCGAGAAAGCGTTCGATAAAGTTTTTTTTTTGTGTAAGAGGAAACTTACTTCGTTGGATAGCTGCCTTCTTGAGAAATCGGACATAGTTAGTGCGTGCCAATAGTGCTTTATGTTCCAGTCATCAAGTCCTCAGTGGAGTACCTCAAGGCTCAGTCCTGGGACCACTCCTCTTCCTGGTCTACATAAGTGACATATCTTCCAATGTGGGCTCCTCTATTTCATATTAAATGTATATTTTGCATGTCTGTAAATTTTGTGAATTAGCCGTTTTTTGCTAAATAAAGATCTATTATTATTATTATTATTATATTTTGCAGAGGATACAAAACTATTTTGTAACCCAAACACAAGACAAAAGTCCTCACCAGCTACAAAATGAACTAAATCAAATTTCTGAGTGGAAAAGTGTATGGATGCTTAAACTCAATAGCAATAAATGCACGGTTCTACATGTTGGATATAATAATCTTAAAGCTACATATACTCTCAACAACACTCAGATTGTGGCAGTCGACGAACAAGTTGATTTGGGGGTCATAGTGAGCCACAATCTGAAATGGAAACCGCATATATCGAGCAGAGTAAAGAAAGCTAGTACACTATGTATTTAATCCAAAAAGCATTTGCAAATTTATCAGTGAAGATGATGAAAACCTTGCTAAAAACTTATATTCGTCCAAAATTGGTGTATGCAAGCTCGGTATGGAGCCCATATTATGTTAAAGACAACAAATTAATGGAACGAGTACAAAGGAGAGCAACTAGAATACCAGGCGCCACAAAACACTTGCCTTATTTGGATGGAAAGACTTAAAATTTTCGGCATTCTATCATTAAAAGAAAGACGCGATAGAGGTGATATGATAGAACTCTACAAAATTCTCTCTGGCTACTATAGTCCCCTGATTGAACTGCCAATATTTCACCCTAATAACTCGCGTGAACTAAGAGGCCATTCGAGAAAAAGTGTTCGGTTTCATTGAGGAAGAACTTTATAACTAATAGGTGGTGTATAAATGGAATGGGCTTTAGGAGAATACGGTATTGGCACCAACGCTGAACTCTTTTAAGAACAGGCTGGATAGCGAATAAATGCAGTCCATACTCAAATTGTACACTATATGTGAACGTTGACTGACTATCTGGGAAATCTGCAAGTGAAGGAACTCTAATAAAAAGACAATAAAGCAATACTAACATCGGTTTTCAACTGCTTTCTATTGCTGTGAATAATAATAATAATAATAATAATAATAATAATAATAGAGTAGTTCTTAATATAACGACCGTGTATTTTTTTTTAAAATAATAACAGGATATTATCGGACAAAAAATTATAATGTAGTTCAGGACTTATGAGTTCCAATTGAATACTAGTTGTTTCATTTGTATGTAATAATATCTAAGCGGGTAAAGCATACTATAGTTTGAACGAGTTCTTTGATGATGTGACTTAAGGTTTTACGTATTTTGATCGTTCTCTCACCTCGTCTAGTCTTGGCTATTTATTGTAATGTTTTTATTTTTAGATTGTAATGTATTTATTTTTTAAATTTTTATTGTAATTATTTAATTTATTCATCCTTTATACGTTGATGCATGATGACTTATATTTTAATTGTATTTTTGTTTTTACTTTTATTTGTATGTTTACGTCTGTTTGTTATTTTAATGGTACATGTATTTTAATTTTTTAATAATTTCAATTTTTGGCATTTATTTTTATTTTTATTTTAATACCTGTTATTTTTTTTATATATTTTTATTGCTTACTATATTATATTGCCTGGGTGGCTGCTTTGTGGATAAGATATTTTTCTTTTTACAATAAAGCGTATTTTGAATTGATTTGATTTGACATCCACCCTTAACATTTTATAATTTCTAGTTTCTACATACTTCCTATACTTGAATTTGTTCGTAAAAATCATAGCTTTAGTTTTCATGACATTCAACTTAAGTTTATTCGCTACCAAATAGTTTGAAGTATTCTTCAGAATACCATTCATTTTATCCACAGCCCTGTCAAGGTCTGTGTCGCTGCAAGCCAGGAAAGTATTGTCGGCAAAGAGATTGATAGAATCACAACCAATAAACAGCTCGATGTTGTTAAAATACAAAATAAAAAGGAGCGGGCCGAGGACCAAGCCCTGTGAAACACCAACTTCATTCATCATCTCTTCAGAAAGTGATCCACCAAATCTCACCCTCTGTCCACGATCCCGCAGATAGTCAACAAACCAGTCAAGACTATCACCAGTTCCATACTTCTGCAACTTAGGGCGGGTATTATAGAACTTTTTTGACAGATAACTAAAAGTTAACTTCTGGAATTACTATGAGAAGTAACGTCATTCCAGAAGTTAACTTCTAGTTATTCTGTCAAAATAGTTTTATCATACCTCCTGTGTCTGTTGGGTGAGAATTTTCTCTAAATTTAAAATAAAATGTATCTTTTAATAACGAATTAATAATAAAGCTACAAATAAGAACATGAGTGAACAGTTTTACGCTCATTTTTTTTTGTTTTTTTGATAGATAGCCAAAACTAGTCTATTTCCCTCTCTACAAAGTTCATCACCACTAAATAAATATGAAATGGAATTTATACTTGACATTTAAATGTGCATTTCATATGACCATATACCAGCTACTCTTTCACACCACAAGATAACAATTAGTAAATCTAGTGAATCATTAGAATTATTTTTTTGCAGGTCAAAACGAAATTTCCAGAAAGTCATTGGAATCATGGTTACAAGGCAGTACTGTCCTAGGCCAACTACTTTTATTTGTTTTCATGCATCTCTACAATATTTCTCATAAGGTAATACATTTTTTAATATTTTCTCTGTAGACAATTCGTTAATGATTTTTTTTTAAATAGGACAAATCAACCATAGATCTAGATCATAATCCAGTGGCTGGAGATAGCGCCACAGACAGTGGCGGTGTCAAGGAGCGCTCCTTGGTACCAATTTGTCGTGGCTTAGATCTCATCCCCTCATATCCAAGTATTTTGGACCTCAACCAGATTGTATTCGTGAACGCTCACCTACCTCAACAGTACCAAGTTGAGTGGCGGTTCTTGTTCAGTTCAGAAATCCATGGGGAGTCGTTCTCAACCCTGATAGGACGAATAGTGAATCAAGGCCCATCTGTATTAGTATTGGAGGATCGCAGTGGCTATGTGTTTGGCGGTTTCGCGCCTGCAAATTGGGCTTTAGGGCCAAATTTTTTCGGGGACGATAGCAGCTTCCTGTTTACCCTCTCACCTCGCATGCGAATTTTTCCTTCGAGTGGCTACAATCAGCATTTTCAGTATTTGAACTTGCACCAGCAGACTATGCCCAATGGATTGGTAAGTCTGATTTTTTTTTTTGTATTTTTTGAAACAAGGAAGTACCTTACTTTATTTGCAATATGAATAACTATTCATTGAAGGCAGTATCTGACTACAGTGACAGTTGATAGACCTTCACAAATTCCTGCTACTTAATGTTGGGCTCAATGAAAGTTCTTGATAATTCCAGAATATTTTATCGTTGAAATTTCTTTATAGTGTGACTACTAGGTATACTTTGACTTATTGTTCTTCTATCTGGTTTTTCGATTACAAGATTCATGTTTATAACAATTAATTGGGTCAGTATACAATTTGGAAATGACAACAACATGTACCACCATCCTCGAAGGAGAGAGTTTATGAGGACCTCATAACTTCCGTAAGTTATGTCCTTGACCATTGTCCGACGACTAAAGTTTTGCTACTGGGAGACTTCAATTTACCTAACTACGAGAACTCGTGTGTCATGTCCAAATTAAAACTTGTGATAGAGCGGAAGTTGATCATAACATTTTCCCTAATTTACTTTCCACTAACAGTAACAAAAGATATAAGATAGGTATTCACTTCGAACGATAAGTGTGAACAAATACAGGTCTGTCAACCTAGCATGACAACCCCAGCAGAATTTGAAAAAATTTAGTGGAGAATTTGTTGCTAATTATTTACCATATTTTTGATTTTTTTACTCTTGGCGATTTTGGAAAAATGCGACTCTGCTAGCTTGATATCAAGCTAGCTGAAATATTTTCAAATTCCCAGCAGAATTTGAAAAATTTTTGTAGAGAATTTGTTGCTATCTAGTTGCTAACTATTTACCATATTTTTGATTTTTTCACTCTTGCCGATTTCGAAAAAATGCGATTATACCAGCCTGACATTCAAGCTACCAGAAAAATGGTATTATGTTTTATTTTTATCTTTATAAGCTAGTTGAAATGCATGAAAATCTATGGCTATTTTATTGATCAGATAATTCAAGGAACCAACTTTTGAAAATCAACTTTGTTCATCAAACAAAGCAATGCGCGAACAACAAACGATAGTCACAATATAATAATGACCTAGACCAGCATCGATCTATTTGGAATCTTTTTGACTGATAAATATTTGTTTATCGCTAGCAGAATGAGTCTTTGTTATAATATAGAGCGATTTAGAACAATATGGAGACTTTTTGACTGGTAAATATTTATTTACCGCTAGCAGAATAAGTCTATATTATTATAATATAGAGCGATTTAGACCAATATGGAGACTTTTTGACTGATAAATATTTATTTAGTGGTAGCAGAATGCGTCTATATTATAATATAGAACAATTTGGACCAATATCGAGACTTTTTGACTGGTAAATATTTATTTACCGTCAGCAGAATGATTTTGTATTGTATTGTACAGCTATTCAGATCAATATGGGTTGATATACAGGGTATTGCATCGACGGGTGGGATATAGAAAACCCTATGTAATTTTCACTTGGATCAATTATTATTCGCATCCCTAATTTTCAAAGAAAAAAAAAATCTATTCAGGTTAATTGAAGAACAATGAAATCCGCAAGATCTTCATTATTATGAAGGGTGCGTTTTTGATAGGAAAGAGGCGCAAAGTGTGTTCCAAAATAAACATAGCGGATTGCTAGATAAGTTAAGATTCCTACATCAGAAATAATTGATATTGCGAGAAAACTATAAATAAAATGGAATCTCTAGAGACCTTTTCTGAAGCTAAATACGGGAGACGATGAGAAAAGGAAAATATTCAAAAAGGTATGAGTAATAACTCTTATTTAGGCTTGGTTTATTCATCTTTTGATAAACTGTCAGGTAATGCAATCTGAGCGATAAAAACGCAATTTGGATTAGAGATTGGTAAATTTATCTTGTAGATAGTGTTATCAGTAAGTTTACCTGAATATGAATAAACCGGTCCTCAAACAGTTGAAAATATGTATTATCATCAGCTCAAAAATGTATCCTTATTGCTTTGTTTGATGAACAATGAATAGATGAAAAAGTTGACTTTTCGAAAGTTGGTTCCTCTAATTATCTGATCATTAAAATAGCCATAGATTTTCATGCATCGATTAAAAATAAAAATAATACATAATAACATATTTCTGGTAGCTTGAATGTCAGGCTGGTATGATCACATTTTTTCGAAACCGGCAAGAAAAAAAAAATTAAAAATATGGTAAATAATTAGCAACAAATTCCCCACTTTTATTTTTATTCAGCTGGAAAATTGATTTTTTTTTCTGCTAGCTTGATATCAAGCTGGCAGATTTCCTTTTTTTCGAAATCAGCAACAGTAAAAAAATCAAAAATATGGTAAATAATTAGCAACTAAATAGCAACAAATTCTCCACCAACATTTTTCGAATTCTGCTGGGAACAGGGTTGGAAAAAAAACATGTTTTTTTTTTCTGTTTTAAGTGTTTTTTTTGTTTCAAACTGTTCAAAACACCTAAGAAAAAAAAAACACGTTTAAAACACATTCAAAACACCTCTGACCTCAGGTACTACAATCATGCTCCTGTACTCTTACCTGTCACCCTAGAGCTTCTTTATGATTAGGTAGATTAAGGCCGGAGTTACCCAATTCCTTAATTCCTAATATTTGTCCCTAATTCCTAATTCTTAAAAAGTTCAATTTATTTAACATTGGTGTTTTTAAGGAGTAAGAATTAAGAACCAAAATTAAGAATTAAGGAGTTGGGTAACCCCGGCCTAAGACGTATATGAGCGAGTTATTTAATTTGAACTGTTACCTTGCCTGTTGGGTTGGGTTGTTTGTTGTAGAGCTGTGGCTGAGGGCAGGGCAATATGTTATATTATAAGGAATTTAAATGTTTATTTTCAAAACTAAACCTAAGTCTTCGTCTTAATCTCAACCTTAACCAAAGAGGATTGATTTTTTATTTTAATTTATTTTTTATTTGCATGTTTGTTTATGATTGCTTATTGTTTTTTTTTTTTCTTCAATTTTCACATTAAATTTTAAGCTTTTTAATCCAATTAAATCGATATTACCTAATTAATAAATGATGTTAAACATGTGAAAATGCAAAGCCAAAGCAGAAATAATCAAATTAACAATTAACCATCAAATTAACCCATTAAAAACAGATTAAAAAAAAACACTGTTTAAAACATGTTTCAAACTGTTCAAAATAAATGTGTTTAAGACACCATCCTCTGTTTAAAACATGTTTGAAACAAATGTTTAAATCATTTTGTTTTAAACATAACAACCCTGGCTGGGAATTTGAAAATATTTCTCCTAGCTTGATATCAAGCTAAGAGTCTAATTTTTTTAAAATCGGCAAGGCAAGAGGAAAAAAATCAAAAATATGGTAAATAATTAGCAAAAAAATAGCAACAAATTCTCCTCTAATTTTTTTCGAATTCTGCTGGGGTCGTCATGCTACGTTGACAGACATAACAAATAATTTCTGAGTGTACACGTTTTTACTCAGTATAATAATGGCTCGAACGCCAATAATATTATATTAGATTTAGTTTTTTCGAACTACCCCGACATGTCTTTATCAAATGTGTCCCCTCTAACTAACGTCGATGGCCATCATCCTGCTGTATTAATTGATTTTTGTATAGAAGAGAGAGATAATATATCAGATCTGCAACTCTTTAGGTATAACCATTGTATGTATAACTTACATACGGCCGACTACGATCTGTAGTATGATTACTTTGAATTTATGAATTGGAGCTTTTTGTTTTGCAATAATATTAGTAGTGCCCTCGAAATGTTTTATATTAGGTAGGTATATCCATTGCAATTGACCCACATGTTCCAAAAACTAGAGTCTCAACTTACACTCATTATTTTTCAAAAGGAACGATTGCTCTGATTAATAAAAAAAACAAAGCCTTTAAAAAATATGAACATACAAGATTAACTGATGATGAGTCTCAGTATGAAATACTTAGGTCACAGTCTAAGACTTCCATCAACACAGACTACAAAATAATATCTCGAACAACACTCAAGCATTCTGGTCTTACAAAGACCCAACATAACACTGCTGGCTATCCAATGAAAATTAGTTTTGATAGTCAATTCCACCGATCCCAAGATCGCTGATTTTTTTTTCAGATTTCTCTCAGTCAGTAATAACCCATTTCAATCTTTTATCAATAATATGGTTCTTTCTTACATGGAGATCAAACTTCAGACCCTTATGGGCATTACGGTTTCCGAACAGAATTCTATAGAAGTTTGTAGAATATTCCAGAAAATCCGCTTGTGGGCTTGTTTTCCTACTAATTAGCTCAAATTGATGCACCAATTGTCTTACTTATAATCGCACTTCTGACACCAAATTGTTATGGACTCCGGGTTCACTAAAACTCACTTCACAAACAGTAACAGCTTTTATTGAACTTTATATATAATTCAATTATCGCAACGTACAGACAACACGACAAATATCGAATTAAAACTGACTCTACTCAATACTACTCAGCGCTATTTATAGCAAACAGTGTACTCGAGATTAAACTGCTGAAATTCTGCATCGATGTCATTCATTTAAATCCCCAAAATTTGAAATCGATTTTCATGTCTAGAGTTCGGTAAGTAACCTATTGGTCACCTGGCATAAGCAGATTCCTACAACTATTTAAACACGAATTAATATTAAACCTTTATCTACACTGGTTTCTTTTTAGGCGATGGGTGGTCAACACAACTACTGTGGGCTTTGGGTGGATTCTGAGTATGGTCAAGGCCATTCCAGCGAGTCGTGTACCACCTACGCAAGTTACCAGCAACTGTCCCATACGAAAGAGTTTCATTTCAGGCACATGGAAGTGTGGGGTTTAGGCCAACCACCACCAACTCCCCAGGAAAAAGGCGAACGGGCTCTGGGAAAAGTAAGGTTTTTTTTTTTGTTTGAAGTTAAATAAATGTTTCTTATTTGAATTTGTTTAGGGTGGCAGTATCTTGGACAACAACGCAGAAAGTAAGGCTATGTTGAAAATGGCTGGCAAGACTATTCACAGTGAAGGCATTCGCGAACCTTCAGACAATTAAATTTTATCATATCCGACGTTAAATTATATTACATATTAATATTGAGGTGCACTGGAAAAAACACCACACTTTTCACAGAAATTTACCTCAGTTCAAATGTAGATCATTAGGCTTAAAATCGTCCAAATAAAGTAGGTATTTGTATGGCGATGCAATTTGCACCTGTTTGCAGCAGTTTTATGGCTTTGAGATACCCCTTGAAATATTTTTGACATTGAGGGGTTTCATACCTTGGTGAACTTGGCAACATTCATTTTTTCTCCAGATTTGACTACCTCTTATTTGAAACATGAAACGTGAAAACGTTTCATGAAAATAGAATAAGGCCAAACAAATAGAAGTCCATTTATTGTGAAAATATTCATAAAAAATGAATAACGACCAAGAATTTGATATTGTTCATTTCGGTGGTGGAGCAATATGAAGAATTGCATAATTATAACATGCAGAAGTACTCGAATGGACAATCACAAGAAAAAGCATGGCAGAACGTTATAATTGTATGCATGTACCCAGTCACGTCGTTTCGTTTTTTTTGGCATTTGAGTTTTGACAACAGGAACAACAAACTCGTCATCACTTTCCATTGTGTGCTTCACGTTACTACCAAACGATTTTGCGAACATTATTCTTGTTTCGTCAATTGGTATGCAAGAAAGAAATGGTTTCGCTTTGCGTAATTTATTGTTTCATGTTTTATATTTCATATTTCTTTGATGTGCGGCCTGCCTTAAAGCTACAAAACTTCATTACATCATAGATACCTGTGCACCTAGGAAAAGTGATGTCAAAATTATTTGTGTGACCTCACATACAGTCACCACTATGTTGATTCGGCATTCCTATGCAGTCGTCTTCATTGAAAAGTTTGTAGCCTAAAAGTTTTACTAATGAAGGCGTATTACAACCTCCCTCCTGAAAAAAAAATATACAGGGTGACAATTTGAAAAGTAGCAATCGGGAATATCTCTTAGACAAAAAATACTATCAGGAAGATCTCAAATACTTATGTATCAGGGTAATGGAGCGGGAACCAAAATCAGACAGTTTTTGATTTACCTCCAGATTTTCCTGATAGTATTTTTTGTCTAAAGGTACAGGGTGGCCCAAATTCGAGCCTCATCATTGGGATCTCGGTAACCATAAAAGATACGGGGTCGGTTAAATTATGGCAAAGTTGCGTAATTTTATGACCAATAGAATGCCGTTTTGAAACTAGAAAGATTCCGAATACTTCCGGAGATATTCGGAAAAAACCTAAATTTTGTAAAATCGTTTTTATTTTTTCCCGGGCTTATTTGAAAAGCAATTTTAAAATAAATGTCACTTCATCGTTCTCACTTTTTCCACTTTAGAAGATGGTGCTACTAATTTTAAAATTCGACGTTTCGTCTTCAGGCGGCCATCCTCAACTTACGTTTTTTAAATACGGACCTAGATTGTTTATTTGCGATTTTGTCATCTTTGGGCATTCTAAAACCGATACTGTTTATAATTTTTCAATAACAGGATGAAAAAAGCAGGTCCGTATTTAAAAATAAATAAATTGATGATGATTCCAGAGGAACGAAACGTTGAATTTCAAATTTAATACCGCCATCTTGTAGAGAAGAAATAGTGACAATGGGAATGTGAAATTAGTTTTTCAAAATCTATTCAAATGGAATCAGGAAAAAATTTAAGAAAAACGAGAAATTCATGTTTTTTTTTGGTAGTTTTCATTTTTTCCTGATTTTATTTAAAAAGATTTTGAAAAACTAATCTCACATTCTCATTGTCACTTTTTCTTCTCTACAAGATGGCGGTATTAAATTTGAAATCTAACGTTTCGTGCCTCTGGAATCATCATCAATAATTTTTTTTTTTAAATACGGACCTGCTTTTTTAACTGGGTTGTTGAAAAATTATAAACAGTATCGGTTTTAGGATGCCCAGAGATGACAAAATCGCAAATAAAAAATCCAGGTCCGTATTTAAAAAAAGGAAGTTGAGGATGGCCGCCTGAAGACGAAACATCGAAATTTAAATTTAGTAGCACCATCTTCTAAAGGGAAAAAAGTGACAACGATGAAGGGACAATTTATTTTATGCAAGAACGGGCGTAAAAGTGCACTTTTACGCCCGCATTTTAAAGCGTGAAGTAGTACTTTTACGCCCTAGGGCGCCTTTTATGCCCGCGGGCCTGAAAGTTTCAAAAATAAACAAAAATTCATCATTTTTCTTAAAACTTTTTGCATTTCTATTACTTAGTCCAAAAAATACCAACTTTTTTCAACAAAACAAGCTTTATTTCAATTAATAAGAATAATGAAATAAGCAATAATGGTAAAATTCTTATGTAAAATTCAATCTACTTTTTACAGTTTTTAATTTTCAAAACCGGCCCTTTTCCACAGAAATACACAAAAGAACTGTTGCCTTCAACATTGAGTAAAAGCTCCATAGGGTGGATGGCTTATTTTTTTTGCATTTTTCATATTAATGTATATGCCAGGCCAGGAGAGTTTCTTCTACAAAGTACTGCTGCTCATTTACACTATGTTGGGCACATCAGGAAATAAAGTCCTTATATGTATTTCATAGAGTATTTTGGACCTTGAAGGTATACATGTTTCTTGGCCTCTTCAACTGCCTCAAGAATAAACTTGGGCATGCTGTTTTGCTCCATTTTCAGACGCACTACCATCATAAGAATACCATACACGTACACTACACAGCACATAATTATTTGTTTGTATTGTTCTGGGTTGCTATAATAGTTACGTGATACTTTTGTCAACAACTGCTTCCTTGATCTAAATTTGACAAAAACTTAGGACCTATTGCGGTAAAGATGAAAATTTATATTTTGAAATATTTTTGATTGATGTCAATATCAAAATGAAAACATGCTCATCGTGCATAAAATCTTGTATGCACCTCAGTCAAAAAGAGCATTAACGTCCTCAGCGTGTAAACAGCCCTCGGCTAACGCCTCAGGCTGTTACACACGCTGCGGGCGTTAAAGCTGTACTTTTTGACCTAGTTGCATAAATAACTATTAAAATTGCTTTTCAAATAAGCCCGGGAAAAAATAAAAACGATTTTACCAAATTTCGTTTTTTTCCGAATATCTCCGGAAGTATTCAGAATCTTTGCCAGCAAAGAAAACTGGAAAATAATTAATCATTTAACTGGTAAAAACTCAGTTCTTCAAACAGATGTTAAATTAGATCCCAATATTCTCAACAACTTCTACTGTAGTGTTGCTGATACTTTACAACAAAACTTGAAAAGTAATGTGGATCCTGGTTCTTATTTATTGGATGTTAAAATAAATGACACATTTGTACTGGAAACTACAAACTTATTAGAACTTAATGAAATCTTTAGAGGAATAAAAAACAATAAATCCAGTGGGCACGATAATGTTTCAATAAATTTGCTTAGAAACTTGCCTGATAATGCATTATATGTCTTGTCTGAATGTATTAATATTTCATTTTTAACAGGAGTATTTCCAGACTGCCTGAAAAAAGCTATTGTGTTGCCTCTTTATAAGGGTGGCGAATTGGACAACCCATGTAATTATCGACCAATATCACTTCTCTCGACGTTGTCAAAAATAGTTGAAAAGTTAGTTAAAGAAAGAATGTTAAAATATTTTTCAAAACACAACATAATAAGTGACACTCAATTTGGATTCCAACCATTAAAGGGCACCCATGATGCAATGTTTAATCTTTTGGAACAGGTATTCGTCAGTCTTAATGAAAGTGAGCTTGTCGCCGTTGTGTTTTGTGATTTCTCTAAAGCCTTTGATTGCGTAAATCATAAAATAATGCTTAAAAAACTAGAAATTTATGGCTTCGGAGGAATCTCATACTCATGGTTTGAATCTTATTTCTCGGGAAGAGAACAATTTGTTAAGATTGGTGATACTCAGTCATCAAACTTGGCCACCAATGGTGTTCCACAAGGATCTGTGTTGGGACCAATATTGTTTTTACTTTATTTAAATGATATTAATCACCTCCCCATTAGAGCTAAAATAACATCATTCGCTGATGACATTACTCTGTCCTGGAACGGAAAAAATATTGAAGAGTTGAAAAAGATTATTTCTGAAGACCTAAATCTTGTAAAGAGCTGGTGTGACTCTAACTTGCTTTGTTTTAACTCTAAGAAAACCAACATATTGACATTTAAATTTTTTTTTGATGATTTATTATTAGACACACACACAATTGAAAATAAAACTAGCTGTAAATTTCTTGGTATGCATGTTGATACTCAACTTAAGTTTAATGAGCACGTTACAAATCTAAACAAACGATTGGCAAGTGGTTGCTATGCTGTAAGAATAGCGTCAAATGAACTTGGTTTGAATACCGCTAAGTTGGTTTATTTCTCGTTGGTTGAATCTCATATCAGGTATGGCATTGCATTTTGGGGTAACTGTTCTAATAAATTGTTTGATTCTGTTTTTGTCATTCAAAAGAGAGCAGTGCGCTATTTGTGTGGGGTTGGATATTGGGAGCATTGCAAGCCACTATTTTTAAAACATAAAATACTTACAGTATGCTGTATATTTATCATGGAAACTGCTTGCCTTATGCACAAAAAACATTATGATGAGTTAGAATATCCAAGAACTTATCCAACTAGGCAACTTCTTAAAATTCAGCTTCCTATACCCAAGACTGCATTGGCGCAAAATTCACTAATTTATAAAAGTAGGCAAATTTTTAATCATCTGCCTGTTAACTTAAGGCAGATAGGTGGTTTTAAAAAGTTTAGACTAGAGCTCAAAACATTTTTACATGGAAAAGCCTACTATCATATTAATGAATTTTTAAATGAAAAATTTTAATTTTGTTTGTTTCATTGTTTTGTTTTGTTCTGACCGCAACCTTTATGTTTTTTCTGTATTGGCTGTACCTTCTATATGACTCTATAGTTTGATGTAGTAAAAATTGTACATGTGTTGCTTAGGATTATGCTTTGACATTTATGTTTATGTTTATTTTTTATTTTATTGATTGTACCTCTTTTTTTTTATAACCCGATAATTTTTAATTACTTGCACATTATTTAAGATCATGCTTTGTCAATGAACTTTATTTTCCGACAATAAAGTATATTTTGATTGATTGATTGATTGATTTTCAGTTTCAAAACGGCATTCTATTGGTCATAAAATTGCGCAACTTTGCCATAATTTAACCGACCCCGTATATTTTACGGTTACCGAGATCCCAGTGATGAGGCTCGAATTTGGGCCACCCTTTACATCCAGACGGGGGCAACAAACAGCGCAAAACGTTCGCGAACGTTCTGCAACAAGCATTCCGCGCACCGCGGCAAACGTCTTAACTGCTGCAACAATTTTTTGTTTACATACTGACACCGCATGGAAAACATTTTGCGCCGCGCAAAAGAGAACGCGCGCGAGCAGGTCTCAGCGCGCAACCGTCCAAACTGACATGTTCTGCAACGTTCGCGAACGTTTTGCGCTGTTTGTTGCATCGGTCTGGATGCACCTTGAAAGATATTTCCGATTGCTACTTTTCAAATTGTTACCCTGTATGTAGTTCTATTAAACAACTTCCATCGGTCAACGTCTTCCCAAAAACGATGAGCTTTCAAACAAACTGAGAAAAAAGGTAAAGAAGTATGAGAATACTTTCTGTTATGACTTAAACAAGGTGGAAGAACATTTTGTGCGGATTGTGCATATGTAAAATCTGTTATTTTTGCAGTATAAATAAAGTTCTGTTATTATTATTATTATTATTATTATTTTTCATCACATTTTTCAACAAGCGTGATTTAGGATAGATACTTCACATTACTGTCTATTGAATACAACTGTACGAATTCTTCCTACTAACAGGAATAGACAAAACATTCGTGGAAAAAAAAATACTCAGCCATATTTCTATCGAAGTATCGAATCCTCCCCTGAAAACGAGATTAGCCTAAAAGCTCAATCAGAAGAGCAATCTCGTCCATTATGCTGCTCAAAAGCTCAGTTTTTTTGGATTTCCACATCCTCTAGATAGCTTAAAAGTGCAATTGGTGACTTTTTTCTAAGAACTCATAGGGATCGAGGTACTAGTTTTTCAAACGTTATAGTTATATTAAAAGATGTAACACGATTTAACACTGCTGTTGCCCTTAGTGAGGTTTCACTGGAAATAGACTTTTTGATTCTGTACATTTCACCTACTCCCAGAACTTACTGTTCAAAACGTTTGAATACTCACCTCACTCCTACTTGTATTCATCTTAGTTTTCCATATTGATTTGATATTGACCTAAGCTTATTATGAAAATATTTATTCAAACAACATGTTATTTTTGCAGACGATACCACTATCCTCTGGCATTGTGTTTGTAGACTATGACTTGTAGAATATGAGGACGGATCTGCTTAAAATAAAGGGCTGGTATGACGCCAATGGTGCAATCCAATCAAAATGGCGGCCGATGCCAGGTGACAAGCAATGAAATTGGCGCCATAAATTTAATTCAAACAACCGTGACATTGAAATACTGTTTTTTGTGTATTTTGTGGTGTTTCAAGGTGATTTTTTAGTGCTTGGAAGGATAATGTTCGTATTTTAAGATGGAGAGTTTTTATTTAAAGAAGTTGTTAGTGGAAAACCCGGATGCTGGCAATTAGGTAAGATTTCTTTTTGACAAACCTTTTCCTACTAAACAATTAGGTAGGTACTATCCAGGATTTGTTTCCTGTTTAATTTTTTCTTAACCAAATCCTAAATCCTGATGTTTATTTTATTTGTCTGCTATTCATGGTATCGACACAAGTTAAGGATAGTAAATGGCTTGGGCTTGGATCCATACACCGTTTATGTGGACAGTGGCGTAACTACCGAGGGGGCAGAGGGGGCCGTGCCCCCCGGGCCCAGAGACTCTTGGGCCCCATCCGAGGTCCCATGCAACAGTAATTTTAGATTCAAAAAACATATGCGTACGATTCTTAGAATAATATCTTCTGAAACCTAATTGCAATCAAGAAATAGAGAGATTTTAAGCCACATAAATTTTGAAATACGTTATACGCTAAACGCTAAACTGAGCAAGCGCAGTCTTTGAAAAATAGCGGAAGACATTTTTAGCCTTTTTAGTTTTTGAAGCCAAAACTTGTGAAGGACGTTATACGCTAAACGTTAATTAGGCAGTTCGAATCAGCTGATAATTCGAGATGGCGATGCCGCACAAATGTAAACAAACCATTGAGGTTAAACATGCCTCCATATAAACACAGACAGATATAAATGTGTGTTATTTCACTTATTTCTACCTGTTCCAAAGTTTAATTTGATGAATTTTAATTTATTTCAATTTCCTTTAATGTTCCTAGTTACTTGGAATATTTATCTATCAATAAAATACCTGGACATCAGGTACAAAACGGACCCCAAGAAGCTGTGCCCTAAGTAGGTAGAAAGGCCTAAATATAAGTTACATCAAGATGATTTTCTTCACCTCCGATCAGTTTTTTGTGTGCTCCAGAACTGTTAGCAGTCTGAAACAAATAGTTCATAAATATTTTTTGATTTTTGATTTGCATTTATTTGTGTTTTTTTTTGTGTACACTAATTGTGTACTGCACTCCATGGAAAACATTGAAAATATAATAGGACTAGGACGTCGGAATGCCCAAGGGCTAATAGACCACGACTTAATAAGAGGCGCTATTCTCCATGATATTTTTGATCCACCTATTTTGGTACCCCCAAGGCCTGTCTTTAACTTTGATGAAATCGATGCGAGGGACGTAGAACTTAACTTCAGATTTAAAAAGGAAGATATTCCAAGATTAGTTCAAGCTTTAGTAATACCTAACATGTTTACAACTCGATCAGGGCATGTTTCGACTGGTAAGAACATACCAAGAACAGAACTGTGAACATATTTTGTTATTATTTATTTTTTTAATTTTCAGGTATTGAAGGAATGTGTATCCTGTTGCGTCGTTTGGCATATCCGAATCGTTTGTGTGACCTGGCATATGTATTTCATCGCTCTACAGCAGCCCTTTCAGAGATAAGCAATTTTATAAACAACCACATTTATAATAATTTTAGGCATCTATTGGAGGACTTGAATAATTTGAACTGGCTTAACCAAGACCGTCTACAACGTTATTCTGAAGTAAGTAATTGCATTTGAGGCTAATTAATATAATAGGCACCTATATCATTTTTTTCTAGGCTATAACAGCAAAAGGTGCAGCAGTACAAAACTGCTGGGGATTTATAGACGGCACTGCCAGAGCAACATGTCGTCCCACAGAAGATCAAGAAAATTATTATTCAGGTCACAAACATTTTCACTGTGTGAAGTATCAGTCAGTGGTTACTCCAGATGGGCTGACTGTTAGTGAAATTGGGGCTTTTCCAGGGCGGCGCCACGATGCAGGTATATTTAGAGAGTCAGGATTGTACAATCAATTAGAACAAAAAACAAGATTTCCTGACGGAGTAGTCTTTGTTCTTTTCGGAGACCAGGCCTATGGCATACGGGAGCTTCTGTTGTGTCCATTTCCTGGGAATGGTGTAAATGAGGCGCAAAGGAATTTCAATGCATCCATGTCTGTTGTGAGACAGGCAGTAGAGTGGAGTTTCCAGAAGGTCATAACATTGTTTGCTTTTTTGGATTTTAAAAAAAATCAAAAACTTATGCTTCAGGATGTACAAGAAATGTATAAAACTGCTACTATTTTAACTAATTGTTACTCTTGTCTATATGGTAATCAGACCTCGCAGTTTTTTAATGTAAATCCTCCTACTGTAGAACAATATCTTAATTTTAACAATTAGGCATTTGATTGAATTTGTAGTGCATCAATATAAATATAGTTAAGCAAGACACAGTATTTTATTTAATTTCATGCTCCTGCTCCAATGAATACAGTTTTGCCGTATATTTTTGCATCCTACCTGAACCAATTAATTAAATAGGTAGGTATCAGAATAGTTATTTTTGTCACAAGTACCTAAAATGAAGTTTCTCAGGACGAATCATTGCTGTTTCCGGACGAGGCGTTAGCCAAGTCCGGAATAGCAGATGAGTCCTGAAAAACTTTGTTTAGGAACGTGTGACAAACACTATTTTTTGTCATACGCTTTTTAGAATTTTTCAGAACACTAAAATTAATAAATTTTCCTTAATTTTTGAAATCATAAAGGTGCATCCCGAAAGAAAAAAAAACCTAAAAAGAAGCCTTTTATGGACTTGAATGAGTCCGTAAAATAACTGTCTCTGGGATCGTATGACAAAAAAAATTTTTGTATTTTTATTCTCAAATTTTGATAGAAGAATACAAGAAACATTCAGCAGAAAAAAACAATAATAGCAATTAATTTTTAATTTTCAAACTATTATTGTACCATCACTTCATCATTCATGCAAAACTAACTCTTTTTTATTTGGTAGTATTTTTGTGTATTTTTTTTTTTTTTTTCACTTTACATAAAATGTTTTTACACATTACTCATACCAATTTCAACAAGTATTGACAGATAGTACGGGATACGAGGCCTATTTCATCAAATCATTTTACACCGTCTTGCATTGTTATCATCAGTTAGATAAAATGGTACTGAAACGCACTTGTGCAGGGAAATAGATGGGAGTGGGGGATGTCGCTGAAAAAAATGTTTCAGAAAATGTCGTCATAAATTAGGAAAATATATAATTATACACCGTCTTGCATTTATTTATTGAGTCAGTTTGTACACAAACAAAATTGAATTACCACATGCAAGACGTTTTTATGGGGGTTTTAGGGTTGCAATAGAAGATGGAAATTGTCAATTTGTGAGAGGGGTGGAAAATCATTTTACACCACTCCATTGTTGATTTAGATTAAAGCTTGAATGTAGAATAGCTACTGGATACTGATACAAGACGTCCTGTGGAGGGATAACGGGCTGCAAGACTGATGTCAATGCGTTGTCTCATGAGGGAGTGAAAATTTATTTTACACCACTTCATGCTTATGTCCGCCGGAAGAATATATGTTAAAAAATGGTAATACATCAGTCCAAGACGTTTTTTCGGGGAAAAAAGTTAATAAATCCGTTTTCTTTTTTTACTGAACTTTTGAGTTATTTACCGAACCGTTCACTGTTCATTCTTTTCTAAATCATACAGATGGAAAAGGACAGTTGACATAGCAGCTCAACAGGGGAGTCTGCTGAATACAGGAATTATAATTTCTGTTTACAATTCCAGGCAGATCATTTTTTTGCTGCTTTAAAATCAAATTTCTCAAATTTACCTAATACCTACTTACAATCCGTTAGGTGTTATGACATATCCACCTCAAAAAAAAAATAAAATGATTATAAGCTGTCAGAAAAAGAACAATTTTCAACCTTTTTTTTTTTGATGTCCGTAGAGTCATTCAAATATACATATTAAGAGAATTTTGCAAAATAGAATTATTCTACGTGGTAAAAGCAAAAATATCTAAAATTATTGTGCGTAATTTGTAATTTAGAGTAGTATTCACATTTGTACCTGATGGATTTACCCCCGTCAAAATTAGTCAACTTCATCACCGTCTTGCAGTCCTTTCTTTCCATTTAGAACGTCTTGTATTTTTTAAAATGTTATCAATGTGTTCTGTTTTTCCCATTAGTATCAGTGCAAGACGGTGTAAAATGATTTCTCACTCCTTCATAAGACAACACATTGACCTCCGTCTTGCAGTCCGTTATCCTTCCACAGGACGTCTTGCATCAGTATCCAGTGGCTATTCTACATTCAAGCTTTAATCTAAATCAATAATGAAGTGGTGTGAAATGATATTTCACCCCTCTGAAAAATTGACAATTTCTATCCAATATAACAACCCCAAAACCTCCATGAAAACGTCTTGCATGTGTTGATCCAATTTTGTTTGTGTACAAATTAACTCAATAAATAAATGCAAGACGGTGTAAAATTATATATTTTCCCTGTTTATGGCGACATTTTCTGGAAATTTTTTTTCAGCGAAATCTCCCACTCCCATCTATTTCCCCGTACAGGTGCGTTTCAGCATCATGTTATCTAACTGATGATAACAATGCAAGACGGTGTAAAATGATTTGATGAAATAGGCCTCGTATCCCGTACTAAGATACCTATAAGAAATAAAACCAAATATAATTATGTTATATGCATCAAATTTTATTTAAATTAGCTTAATTGTAAACAAAATAATTATCCTGTCTTATTAACTTATCTTGTATATACATATTATAGTATAGAAAGGGTATAAAAAAATAGTGTACCAAACAAGGAGAGATACTACATATGAAATTTAAAAAAGCTCTCATGAACATATGCCCTAACTCGCGCCCTAAGATACTGCCGGTTACAGCCCTTCAATCAATAAATAAAAACAATAGATTTTATTTTTTTTCAAGAACAGTGGCAAACTATTTTCCTTGAAATATTCTCACTTGGCATAAAAATATATGCCAAAGCGAATAGTGATAGTAAAAATTGCAGCAACAGTTCTCAAAGGGTAGTTTCCATAAGGGTGGAGGCTAGTTACTCACAAAACAAGAAAGCATTCTAGGGCATCTGTTCTCAAAAACTTTTTTCTAGTTTTCATATGTAGTATCACCTTTCGAAGTCCGGTACACTATTTTTTTTACACCCAGTATACATATCGTCGTTAATTTGACAAAGGGACGTATATGAGAAATAAGCGATTTTTCGTTTTCAGGGAATTTATGTCGCGAAACATCAAAATTATACGCCCTCTAATTGGCGCATATGAACTGCCAGTAGTTTCTGAGTTATACACATTTTTCTTTTAGACGTATGTTTTGAAACAAGAAATATGTATCTTCCTAAAAGGCGTATATCATATACGCCTGAAATATTTTTTTTTTAGAGATGACCTTGAAGCTCGCGTTGGCGTATATAGTAATACATACGCCTTTTTGCTGACGCGCACCAAACCTATTTTAAACTAAAATTTAGCTAATATCGGAAGACATTAGTCAGTCAATTTACTGCACTTGTTCGTGTTTTGGTTTGTGTTTTTATTGCTTTTCAAACAAACAAAGATGGATGTTTTAATTAAATGGACAGGCAGCACACAAAATATTGTGGATTCGCGACAGATAGTGGTTTTGGGCAAAAATAAAACTCTAAAAGAAGGCAGTTATGTGAAAATGTGGTAGGTATGAAAAAAAAAATGGTATTGTGGATCTGTCATAGCTGTAGAGAAAAATGAGGACTATGATGATACGTCAGCTACATTACCATATAGTGATTATTCTAGTGATGAGGAATCGAATTTGCCAATCAAACTATAAGAAAAAAATGATTTAAACAAGCCAGTAGTCGGCAATGAGGCTAAATCATAATTAGGTATAGTAGTAGAGAGTAGAGAAGCCCTAACGATAGGTATGCCTTAAACTGACATTTGTCCATGAAAAAATGTCATTTTAGGGAATACTTATCGTTATGTTTCCCCTAAAATAGTTGGTGGAAACGGCCATGAGTCAACCGTTTATTTATATTAAGTTTGATTCGTAAAGTTTATTCTTAGCAGCAAAACATAATACAATCAAAATTTTATTAATTTTAATATTATGCAATAAAAATGTATTCTAATTTAGGCAGATGTGTTTTTTAAAAATTCCAACCACTCTACCTTGTTGCCATTAAACTACAAACCAGAGAGTATAAAAAAAAAATAGTTGACAAACCTGTACAAAGGGCAGTATATGACTTATTTTGGGAGGCGTATGTGAAACGTGCAAAAATAAAATTTTGCAAAGTGGCGTAAATGTATTTTTTTCAAAATTTTCAGACTAAAAATTAAAGTATTCTACTTTTATGAACAGTATTCCAAATACCACTTAATAGCCTGTAAGTACACCAAAAGACATTTTAATATCTATTTTGGTTTTTGACTCATAAGCTTTCAAATTTATTGAAAAAATCAAATGCTTGTCCTGAAAAATTAATAAATTCAATATACGCCCATTAGTGAAATTAACGACGATATGCATAATATTTTTATTTAAATTAGCATAATTACAAGCAAAATCATTAACCTATCTTATTAATTAACTTATCTTGTATACATATAAAAATGTTATTTGTGGAGATGAAGCCAGTGATAAAAAGAAAACGACTCTTTTATCTAATAAAAGCTTTCCCAATTATTAGTTTATCGCTTCATTAGGTAAAGGAGTCGTTTTCTTTTTATCACTGGCTTCATCCCCACGAATCATAACATTTTTATATAAAAATTTAAGCCACAATACTACCTAACATAAATATAAATATATCATAACAGGTAACAGATCTTCAAAAAAAAAACACAAAGATTGCTATGGTTTTTCAAACGCTGTGCTGTAGTGGATGATTTCTATTGGAACCTATTTGATGTGTAGGATTGACTAGGCAACCTAAATCAAAACTGGGGTTTTGCAGAGAATGCCATGTGCAGCTTTATTTTTAGTTATAATTTGCAATAAAAGTCTTAAAACAAACCCCACATTTTACCGAGAATCACATTTCAAATTGACAGACTCTGTTCCAAGTTAATTTCATTTAGAATAAGACATTACAACAAGCAATCTTTGATTGTTTTTTTTTGCAGACCTGTCATTTTTATTTAAATTAACTCACTTCTAAGCAAAATAATTAACCAATCTTATTTATTAGTAAATTAATTAATTTATCTTGCCTTTCAGCCATAGCTAACAAGTTTTGCTGATTTTGGGATTCCAAATTATTTTTTTTTTCAATTAATTCAAATTGTTTTTTGATTTGAAACTCTGTTAAATCATGTTGTTTTTCCAATAAGTCCATCATTCTTTCCTCCACTTTTAGTTTTCGCTCCTCTAGTTCCAATTGTTTTTTTTTTATATCACTTTGCTGCTTATCATAGTTTTCTAGGTACGCTAACCCTTGCCTTTGGGTATTAGCTTTCCTTTTCCTACTTCTTACTGGACCTGTAACAAAAACAACATATTTAGGATATGAAATAACATCAATAGTATTAAGTGATAGTCATAGTTAAATGGCGGAAAAAATGCATCGAAAATGTTTTAAAAATGTGCATTTTAATGCATGCTATTTCTATTAAAAATGCAAGATTTTTTCCAAATTATAATTATTCGGCCCTTTTAATCAGGTACCTAGTACTTATATGTACAGTGTGGTCATTTTATCTTGATAGCATTTCAACCTGTCATAATTTATTTAGTTTTGAAGTTATTAAAATAAATGAAAAAACATACTGTAGAGTTAGTTTCCAAGTTTTAAATAGGGTGGATAAAAAACAAAAGACTAATATATTTTGACAGTTATGGACACAAATAACATTTTTTTCAATGGAACACCCGGTAAATTTTTGAATTGTTTGATATGTTTCATTCTGATTGCAATATATACAATACAATATACTTGAATACAATTTACTCTAAATTTAATGCAGAAGTGTTTTATGTATTCTAATGGAAAATTCTGCTTACCTACATACCTTTGCAGGTAATCTGTGTAGGTAATTAGTAAACAATATTTTCAGAATAGATGAAACATTTCTGCATGTAAATATAAAGTAACTTGTATTTAATTGCATTGTATTGTATATATTGGAATCAGAATGAAACATATTATCAAACAAACTAAAAATTTCCTGGGTGTTTTATTTAAAAAAATGCTATGTGTGCGCATAACTGTCAAAATATATTAGTCTTTTGTTTTTTGTCCACCCTATCTGAAACTTGAAAACCAACCCTACAGTATGTTTTTTTATTCATTTAAATAACTTTAAAAATAAAGAAATTATGACAGTTTAAAATGTTATCAAGATAAAATGACCACACTGTACAGTAATGGGGTACCTGTGCCAAAAATGGGTTCAAATTTCAAAGGAAGAACTAATAAATTGATAGTCTGCTTCAATAAATCTAACAAAAGAGGCAAGATAATGCAGAAAGACATTAAAAATATGCAAATTTTTCGAAAATGGTCAAAATATCCAGAATTTGCATTAAAATGAAACTTGCATTCTATCTGCCCTTTAGTGATAGTTATTTTAATGAAGCAAGATTTCTACAATAACAATGATAAAAATTACATACCCAAAATTTTCGCAGGTTTTGAACTTGATGTTGAAGGCTTAATCTCGGGATTGCTAGCTACTGTGTTATCTGTCTGATGGGATGTCTGTGGATCCAATACATTTACTTTGTGGGTTGATAGGTAAGCTGATGATATGTCTATCAACTTAGCGAGACAACTTCGGAAAATCGATTTTCCGTTATGCCAAGAATTTGCCGCTTTTTTGCCGCTGATTAAATGTGGAATTAAAAAATTTGCCGCTCTTTTGGTTTTTTCTTAATTACGTGTTTTGCTAACTTGACGTCAAGATAGCGAGACAACATCACTAAATATGTCAGCAGTAAAAAATTAGGTAGATGAAAATTTGCCGTTTTTTTGCCGCTAATTAGTTGTGTAAACCAAAAATTTGCCGGTTCTTTTTTTTGCATAAATAATCAAGTTTGAAAAAAATAAATCATTTGTTTCGCTAACTTGACGTCAAGTTAGCGAGACATTATCACTAAAAATGTCGGTAGTGAAAAATTGAATGAATGGAAATTTGCCGTTTTTTTGCCGCTAATTATTTGTGAAAACCAAAAATTTGTTGCTTCTTTTTTTCACAAAAAATCAACTTTGAAAAAAAAATCATGTGTTTCGCTAACTTGACGTCAAGTTAGCGAGACAATATCACTAAAAATGTCGGTAGTGATAAGTTGAGTGAATGGGAATTTGCCGTTTTTCTGCCGCTAATTAGATGTGGAAACTAAAAATTTGCCGCTACCTTTCTTTTCATAAGAAAATCGTGTTCGAAAATAAAATAATGTTTTGCTAATTTAACGTAAAGTTAGCGAGATCACTAAAAATGTCGGTAGTGATAAATTGAGTGAGTGGTAAATATCGCGTTTGAAAAAAAATATCATTGTTCAATTGACATCAAGTGAGCAAAACAGTATCAATAAAAATGTCGGTAGAGAAAAATTGAGTGGTAGAGACAAGTTGTGGAAATTTGCCGCTTTTTGCCGCTAATTAAATGTGAAAACCCAAAAATTTGCCGCTCTTTTTCCGCATGAAAAAATCGTGTTTGAGAAAAACTTGTGTTTCGCAAGCTTGCCGTTAAGTTAGACCGACATCAACACAAAAAGCGAAGGGCAGTATAAAATTAGATGAGTCAAAGGGTGTTCCCTTATAAATGATCTCCCACCCTTGATTTTTATGCAGCCTGTAAGTATATTTTAATTAGTGAAACTCAACATTTGTTGGAACAAATATTTATTTCTAAATTTTTTGAGAATAGTTTTACAATTTTTTTTTTCTTTAGTTTAGGAAAACTCTATTGGAGGCCTTATATAGGTTTCAAAAATCAGAAAGCGAAATATCGTGTGCTCATTTATACAGAAAATAAAATAAAATTAGAAATAAAATTAAATTGGGATAAAATGGAAATTATCGATAATTTTTGGCAAATTTTCCCAAATGCATTTTTAGTTGAAAAAAAGCACGAGGGACGAGTGCTTTTTCCAGTTAAAAATGCATGAGAGCAAATTTCTCAAAAATTATAGATATATTTCCATTGCTCGAGTTGTATTTTATGAGAGAATTTCATGAATCAAAAATTTAAATTTTTAGTATATCCTCGTAAGTATAAAATGTCAGCAATCAGAAAAAATGTCAAATGCCACCCGTTAGTAAGCAATTGTCCAATCCGATAATCCTGCACTACACCTTTTCCATATGTATTTCAGAGACCGTCAGTTTAGTTTCAGAAAGCGTCAATTGCAATTTAGACTAGTGAATTGTATTTCGGAAAGCGTCAATTGTATTTCAGATTATTTAATTATATTTCGGAAAGAGTCAATTGTATTTCAGACTGGTATATTTTATTTCAGAAATCGTCAAATGTATTTCAGATAAGTTAATTTTATTTCGGAAAGCGTCAATTGTATTTTAGATTCGTTGATTGTATTTCAGAAAGCGTGAATTATATTTTAGAATTTGTCAGATGTAGTTCAGAAATCATCAGTTGTATTTCAGATAATAATATTATAAGAACAGATTATCCCAAATCAACACAAGCAAGGTGTATAGGTGAACCATCATAAATTTCATTTAATACACTACATTGATAACATCTGAAATACATCTGACAAATTCTGAAATACAATTTACAATTTCTGATTTACAAATAAATAATCTGAAACACATATGACGTTTTCTGAAATACAAGTGGCCAAAATGAAATACAAATTACTTTTTCTGAAATACAACTGACCAAACTAGAATACAAATGACGTTTTCTGAACTACAACTGACACAGTTGAAATACAAATAACACTTTCTGAAATTAAACTTACACAACTGGAATACAACTGACGCATTCTGAACTAGAATTGATGAATCTGAAATACAAGTGATACATTCTGAAATACTTATGGAAAAGGTGTAGTACAAATTATCACGTAATCGTAATCTGATTGGTTGAAATCAACAATTAAAAAATGCCAGTTTATGCATGGGATCTGTGTCATTTGCGCGACAACCGTTTGCGCGACAACCGTTTGCGCGAGGGAGAAAAGCGCGATACGAAAAGCGCGAGGGACAAAATCACGACGGAACAAAAACGCGACAGGACAAGTGCGCGATGGACAAAAACGCGACTGGATAGAAGCGCGAGGAACAAAAGCGCGAGGGACAAAAGCGCACGGCTGCGCAAAAACGCGACTGGATAAAAGCGCTAGAAGCAAAAGCGCGAGGGGACAAAAGCGCGACAGAACAAAATCGCGACTGGATAAAGCGCGATTGGCCAAGAACGTGAAGTGCCTTACTACGAGAACTGGACATCGTTTTCCAAAATACAAGATATTTTCGGTGGCTCCGGTTCAAAAGAACGATATTTAAAATAGCAACATCAAAAAGGCGACATATTGTTAAAGCGATATATCAAAATAGCGACATTTGGAACAGCGCTATTCAAAATAGCGACATCTAAAAAAAACAGCAACATATCAAAAGAGCGACATATGTAAAGAACGAGATTTAGAACAGTGAAAAATTAAAAGAGCGACATTTACAACGACGACCTCTAAGCAAAAGAGGGAAACATCAAATTGTTCCAATATCAAAATTATGTAGACTTACTCAAACTAACCCAAACTAACCCGTCCGTCTAGGGCAATCTCGTCCTCGTGAGTTAGCATTTTATTTAAAAAGCACTGCGCTCTCAAGAGACCCTGAGCAATCAATCAGTGATTTAACTTTGTTTTTTTAAATAAAATGCTTACGAGGACTAGATCGTACTAGGTGGACGGGTTATTTTGGGTTAGTTTGAGTAAGTCTGTATTGCGACATCAATTTGAACCAATAATAATAAAGCAAATACAGACTTGCTCAAACTAACCCAAAATAACCCGCCCGCCTAGTGCGATCTAGTACTCATAAGTTAGCATTTTATCCAAAAAAACAGTCAATTTATTTATAGCGTAGGGTCCCTTGACCGCGCCTGGTTTTTCAAATAAAATTCTATTTAACGAAGACTAGATCGCACTAGGGGAACAGGTTAGTATGGGTTAGTTTCAGTAAGGCTGCATTTTTCTGAATTTTATTGATACAATTTGATGTGTCCCTCTTTTGTTTACAGTCCTCGTAGATAGTTAGATACTTCGCGTTGTTGTCCAATCGTGCTTTACTACAGTCGCGTTTTTGTTCCGTCGCGCTTTTTCTCCCGCGTTTTTGTCCCTCGCGCTTTTGTTTCTCACGCTTTTCTCGCTCGCGCCTTTGTTTCTCGCGCTTTTATGCAGTCGAGTTTTTGTTCCGTCGCGCTTTTGTCCCTCGCGCTTTTAGTATGGCGCTTTTCTCCCTCGCGCAAACGACTGTCGCGCAAATGACACAGAGCCAAGTTTATGGTTCGAATACCAGTTTTGACAGATGAATGAAATTTTCTACCGACATTTTTATTGATACTGTTTACTGTTTTGCTAACTTGATGTCAAGTTAGCGAAATACATGATATTTTTTTCAAACGCGATATTTTCTTGTAGAAAAAGAGATAATTAGCGGCAAATTTCCACTCACTCAATTCATCACTACCGACATTTTTAGTGATCTCGATAACTTCACGTTAAATTAGGAAAACACTATTTTATTTTCGAACACGATTTTCTTATGAAAAGAAAGGTAGCGGCAAATTTTTAGTTTTCACATCTAATTAGCGGCAAAAAAACGGCAAATTTCCATTCACTCAACTCATCACTACCGACATTTTTAGTGACACATGATTTTTTTTTCAAACTTGATTTTTTGTAAAAAAAAAGCGGCAAATTTTTGGTTTTCACAACTAATTAGCGGCAAAAAAAACGGCAAATTCCCATTCACTCAATTTTTCATTACCGACATTTTTGGTGATAATGTCTCGCTAACTTGACGTCAAGTTAGCGAAACAAATGATTTTTTTTCAAACTTTATTTTTTATGAAAAAAAAAAAAATAACCGGCAAATTTTTGATTTTCACAACTAATTAGCGGCAAAAAAACGGCAAATTTTCACGTACCTAGTTTTATAGTGCTGACATATTTAGTGATGTTGTCTCGCTATCTTGACGTCAAGTTAGCAAAACACGTAATTAAGAAAAAAACCAAAAGAGCGGCAAATTTTTTAATTCCACATTTAATTAGCGGCAAAAAAGCGGCAAATTCTTGGCATAATGGAAAATCGATTTTTCGAAGTTGTCTCGCTAAGTTGATAGACATGCTGATGATGTAGAGGCTTCATTCATTATCGGTTCAGTATTTTCTAAGATGAAACAGAATGTAATTATATAACTAGCAAACTGTGTTTTTTTTTTGCCAAAATTATCTGGCTGGGTCCTGGATACAATAAGGGCTAAAATAGATGGACTAATCTAGCGGCACAGAGTAATAACACTAAGGAGTACATAAAAGCCACTTTATAGCTCTTAAGTCACAGTGCCACAGCCATTAATTTTAATTTGTGTCAAGCAAATCAATAAGTTCAACTATTTCATTTTTTTTAAAAACAAAAATTCAAAAATGTAGAATTCTTACCAATGCATTCAGTAGTATCTTGCATGCTCAAGTCAACTTCGTCCACAAACTCTATCCTCACATCATCAGATAATATATCCTCCACAGGAATTGTCAGACCTAAAAAAAAAAAAAAAATGGTTTTCAGGCACAATTAGGTCTTGCAAAAGTTTTGAAAATATTTTTATCTCAAGGTTTAAATCATGGTCAAAGATATGTACTTGTCACACAAAACCCCTTGACAAAAAGTTGAACAAAAAACATGAACAATATAACTATATATTTTTAAACTTACTGCCATGATCATGAATGAGGGATTCTGAGCCTATATTCTCCGTCTTCACTGATGATCCCGAAGCCTCCAACAGTTGGGTCCATTGGTTTCGAGCATCAATACCAATAGTTTTAGATGCACTAACTGAGGTTTTCTTCTTTTTGGAATCTTTGAATTCCTTCATCAAGTCGTAAATATTACTACATAAAGTATCCTTCTCTGTAGAGACTACTTCTATTCCTGACCTATAATTACATTATACTTTAGATTGAAATAAATATACTCTTAACTAATAAGAGGAAGAAGTACTAGGTATATTTTCAGAATATTGTTATATTTTAAGTGGGTGAGTACACTTACTTGTCTTTTAAGATTTTAAACATTTCCAGCCACAGTTTTATCAACCTCTCCAAATGTTCCCTCAATGTTCTAATGACAAATGTTTTTCCAGTTAAACTGGAAACATTCTCTTGAATAACATGCCATAACGCAGGATTCTCAAATGGATTATGAGATAATACTTCCCGCAACAGCACCAAATCGTCATGGTCAGTAAAGCGTTGACGTTTTCTCAGAGCGTCCATGGTGAAAAGTTTAGAAAGGCTTGGAAAAATAAAACTGAAACTGTACAAGAAGCGACTTCAAAGAAGTTATATTGCAAACTGAACCAACAAAATTTAAATTGGCACCATCTCAGGTAAAAAAAATACCTAGAGTACCTTTTTCTTCTGACACAGCATCATAAAATCGTCTTGGGTTCCCCAAGGTATGGTTAAAGGGTGTATTTTGTCTATACTCGGGTCGTCACGTCGGGGTACCTGTGGTACCGTTTTCAGGTGTTTTTCTTGGGCTTAGCTAACAATGGTTACTTTTCAACTTTTTCTCTGAATTAAACCACACCAAAATATCAAAAAAACCGGAAACGTCTTTGGAAAAAGTTGTTTAGTTTTTTGTTCTTTGGTTATAGAGGTTAGGTTAGGTTATGCAAATGTCAACTTGCAGGGATATGTTGGCGTTGCCAATTTATGCAATTATAGAGGATATTGGTTGTAAATTTTGAAGACCAAAATAGACTACGTAGAAAAATATTTTGAAGAATTATTTGACGCATTATTTGTTATCCTCTTGGAACATTTTTATTTTTGTTTATTTCTCGTTTGAACCAAATAAGTATTACACTTGGCACCGATGTTAAAACGTTATCGGCTAATAACGTTCCGTTTATTTCCACATAATTAGCGTAGTACGTTACCGCTTATTAAGCGGACCGGTTATTTTTTCACTATTGCGCATGAGCAAAATAACCGATAACGTATAACGTTGATCAAATAGGTGGCTCAAAATCTCTCTAATAAGAAAATCATTAAAAATTTTGCTGATGATTTGATCAATGGGAGCAAGGCAAGGTTTAGTGATTCCCTGACACTGCAGCTAGTTAGCTTATTGTATCCCTTGCTGTGTGAATTTCTGTTAAAATAGGTTTGACACCTTTGCCAGGTGCAGAAACCTCTTTATTGGCGACTTCAGGGGACCCTCCTCCTGGACAGATTCCTCCCTCTAAGAGGTATCGGGTTTGTCAATAGGCGAGTGCAGGGCACTCGAATAAGATGTGTGAGGCTGATTCTTCGTCCTCGTGGCACAATCTACAGATGGGTTAATCTTCGTAGATTCCCATCTTGTGTAAGTGTTTCCTCAGTGTGCAGAGACCAGTTAACAGTTCCGTCACAATTCTGATCTGGTTCCTCGTGAGCTTTAGGATCTCAGAGACTAATCTTGTAGGATATTTTACCATTGCCTTACTATGGTGCATGTTGCCTCGGTATTTTATACCAGAGTGGTTTTTGTGTTCCTCTCGGATCCACTTGTCCAAGCAGCCACGTATCGAGTTTTTTGATATTCCGAATACGGGTTCAGGGCCCATGAACTGCGTTTCTGATCCTTGCCTGGCTAAGGAGTCCGTGTTCTCATTGCCAGCAGCGCCCGTATGCCCCCGCACCCAAGCAAGAGTTACCTTCTTATGGCTGGCTAGGGTTAAAAGGAGTTGCAGGCAGTTCCACACTAATTTAGAGTTTATCTGTTGGCATGCTAAGAGCTTCAGTGGCGGCTCTTCCTTAGGTTTGCAGGTTTGCGCAACCCCCAACAAAACTTTAAAAATATAAAACAAAAATAGTAGAATTAAATTTTAGTACCTAATTATATTTAAAAAATAAATTATACCAAAATTTGGGACCTACATAATACGCAGTCAATTATTAAAATAATTTGACCAATTTCGCCAAAATATCAACAACTGACAGGCCGCCGCGCCGGCGACTTCGAGTAGCGGGTAGCGGCGTCGAGTCGCTGGATTGCAGCTCCAAAGCAAACCGATCTTTTATATGACGGCGCACATTTGGTTGCCTGTATATGCGTGGATTCGAAATCCGCCCCATAAGCTCCAGCAGGTTGCAAGCAAAGTGCAAACTTTGTTTATTTTTTTTTGCTCGTAGCGCAAATTAGGTTTGTTTTGTGAAGTTGGGGGGTGAAAAAAAAAGAATTATGTTTAAAATTTAATTCCCGAGCCATTCTTTGGTCGTTCATTAACCGATAAGGCTGAAATAAAAAGACTTGGAAGGCCTACTCCAAATTTAAAAATTGAACAAACTGTAACTACATAGCAAAAAAAGGACTTTCACCAGGACATTTAATCTGGACCTTTACGAAAAACATGCATGATTGTACCATTGAAATTGCAACCCCTACATTTTTAATATACGAGCCGCCACTGAAGAGCTTTAATAGCTGCTTGGCAGTCTGAGAAGATCCTGATATCCTTATGCACATATCCCTTTCTCAGATTTTCCCGCAGTCATGTCTCTATGCATGTATTTCGGCTTGGAATACGGTGGTGTGCTTCCCCAGTGGAGAATACCATTTTGATCTTGGAGATAGGCCATATACTCCGGCACCAGTTCCACTGTCGGTTTTAGAACAATCAGTGTACCATACCAACTTTCCATTCTGGACTAGTGAGTTTTCTGTTTTGTTTTCCCAGTTAATCGGGGTTTGAAACGGTTTGTGAGTATTTATTCTCGGGGTCATGATGTCACTTCTCATCTCAAATAGTGAGTTTGTAACAATGTTTGATATCCTGGTATGTCCGGATGTTCTACTTGGAGTCCAGTTCTGGCTACTATTGAATCTGTAAAGCCCCTATTTTTGCCTCAGCTTTGATAATGATATCAAGTGGCAGGAGGTTTAGTATGGTTTCCATAGCAGCAGTTGGAGTGCTTCTCATTGTACCCATTCTGCAGAGACAAGTCAGTCTTTGAAGTTTGGATCGCTCCATAATTGCTTTGCTCTGTTCGACTTTTAGCCACCAGACTATTGATCCGTAGGTCATTCTGGATCTTACCACTACTGTATAGATCCAATATACTATGTGGCGTAGTAATCCCCATGTTTTTCCCATTGCTCTTTTGGTGGCCATAAGCGCCATTTTACCTTTGTTGGTGGCGTATTCAATATGGGCGTTCCAGGTTAGTTATTAATGATACAATGGAGATGTCGGTATTGTATCATTTCCAGAAATTTTGCTGATTTACCTATCTATTTACTATTCACATTTATTTGGAAAATATAAGTATTCCGCAAACAGTAAAATCGCGGTCGGTAGTGTTAGCTCTTAGCGTGGAAGATGATAGGCGGTTTCCGCAAAAGAATTATTTCCGGGTTCTTATAAGTTAGGGCCGGCTTATTCACCTTCTGATAAACTCAGGTCAGGTATGCAATCTGACGGATAGAAACGCAATCTGTTATCCCATTGGTCGGCCAGTTATCCGCCAACTAGAATTAGGGAACGGTCAATTTATCTTGCAGATAGTCCATTTTTAGTTTTACCAACAGGATAAATTTGTCAATCACGTTACCAGTGGGTCCATAATTTGGCCCTTAGACAAACAGAATATTGCATACACCACTGCAATATTGTAATTGGGCCTCGCCAAACCACTCTGCCCCCAGGTCCAAAATCTGAAGTTACGCCACTGTATGTGGAGAGACTTTTTGGTTTTTCAATATGTATTTGTCAAATTTTTTCTCTTTTGCTACAATCCATGAAGCCCTACAAAGTACAAACAAATCGTTTTTCTCCGTTAAAAACCTGTGTTTTGTCTCTGCAGGAACAGCATGAAACGAGTGCACGTTATCTGCATATCATCCCTCTCCGAACAATACTGTCATCTGGCGTTGATTTTAGAGAATGTTTCAACGATTGCGCTCGGTCGGACCGATTATTCCGGAACTTTCTCGTGATTAGCCCTCCACTAGGCGCGCGAGTTTTCATAACATCATTAGTCGCGCTGTATCACAGAGATACATGTACTAAATCATTGATAAAAAAATTGAACCATCTGATGAATTTCGGTTTTACAATTTCTATGTATTTATTCGTGTACTCAATAATTACTTTTTACTGAAAAAGAGATTCCAGAAGTTGGATTCTGTTTTCGCAGTCGTTGCAGTTTGGCCAACAACGCCCGGCAGCTTTACCATATTATGTGGTCTCTTCCGAGTCAGCTTGGGAGGAATTTTGTCTCATCGAGTTCCATCTTCACGTAAGATGAACAGCCTCTTGTACCATAATATTTATATGAAAAAAATACCAAGAAAACAGTTACAATTGAGGAGCACCGCTGGTAATAAGAACAGTCGCGTTGTATCAGTCAGGCACAAAGCCGAGCGCTCCCCTAGTTTTTTGGAAATTCCAAATTTCCAAATAGAGGTACGACCATATAATTTTGGGAAAGTGATTAGTATAGGGTACCTAAGGGCTACTATAATCCATAATATTATAGGGTTTCTCCTTTTTGATTTATTTGCAAAAATAATAGGCATGTATCTCTCAGATACACGCGCGACTAATGGAAGGTTAGAATGGCTCCCACAAATAAGTACAATAGATAACGTATGCATTTTCCAAAAAATCAACACTTTACAGACTTTACACCAGAGATGAGTATGAAATGGACTGGGCGTACGGCACGAACAGTGATGTAAACATGGTAGGCAACCCTAACTGCACATTAGGGGCAGATATCCGCGCACACTTGTTATACGTTAGTGTTGGATACGCGATTTGTTGTAATTTTTTGTTTTCTGATGAGTCGTCATCACTTTTACTAAATAGAAAAGATCTTGGGGGATTATGTAAGGCATCAGAAGATGTAATAAAACTGTGCAGTTTAGCCGAAAAAAATTTTCGTGCTCATTACACTCCAAACACTACAGTCAAAAAAATTATAATATGGACCATGAGTGACATGAACATTCACAATTATTTTAAGGAGCTTGGTGATCATATATTGGACCAAGATCCTATTAATAATCATTTACTTCAGCTGATCAACGCAATTTTACGTGTTTATTTTCTCGTTAGAATCCATTATCAGAATAAGGAAGCAAGTAGAATCACTGATAGAGTTAGGCAAATGTATACAAAACTTGTAATTTTTAGGAACCAGTAGAATTAAAATCAGTTTTACATCTAAATCCTAAATTTAAGTTTACATATAAGTATTTGTACCTTACAATCTAGTATTTTGTGCCTTTGAATTTGCCCAAGAATTGTTTAGGAATAACAAGTTTTTTTATCTAACGTTTGAGTGTTGTTTTATTTTTTTGCCTCACAGGTCTGCACAAAATACATACATTTAAGCACGTCTGGTATTTAGTTTTTAATGATACACTATGGATAACCAATTATATGTCACCTTTAAATGAAATTATGTGTTATTTCTCGTTGTGGGTAATGCGCTCGTGTAGCTTCTTGCCCACAATGCGAAAGACTGGTTGCCTAACCATCTTTCCATCACTGCCGCGTACGGCAATTATACGGAACACGCAGTCCATTTCATACTCATGTCCAGTGACGCTTTTGCCTTTCTCTGGCCCGTAGGTCAATTATTTGGAATGGCCTTTCATGAGTGATTGTTCTTTTTTATAGGGTTTAATAAAATCATTCAGACGATTTCAAACTACTAACCTAGCAGAATATGAAGACAAAAAATGTTGCCAAGTAGTATACGGTAAAGTCAAAGAAAAGTACTACAAAATGCTGGAACAAGAATGGTCACAAAACATGCTATATGGTCGGAACGTCCTTGAAGAAAATGATGGCATTAAGCTCCCAGCCTACCAATCACCACATATGGATGCTGGGGACTAAGGGTACTGATGGGTGCTTCGGAAGAACAGCTGCATGGTTTGGGATCAAATCCATTAGCGAGGAAAAGATGCATAAAGGGTTGCAACTATGAGGGAAATTCGTACCACTTTGCCTGTGCATGTCTTACAAGCTCAACAACAACAAGGCACGACTTCGTGGTACACTAGACCCTTAAGACACTGCTCAAGTCCCTGGATGCTCCAGAAGAAGTTCAAAGAAACTTACAATTTGGCAAAGCAGCGCAAACACTAACAGGTTCCTGCTGTAGTCGTTGCCAGTTGCCACGTGCCCGTGCTGCACTAATGACGCGACGGCGATTCAGCGTAGCTCTTCAGCGCAGCTCGGTGACTCTAGGGCGTTTTCCGGATTGATGCTCGATCGAGCGAGCAGAGCGATTCCAGAGCATCGTGACGTCAGGCAGTGCACTCTGGCCAAACCAAATGTGCTTGTGCAGTGTGTATTGAAATACAGGGTGTCCCACGGTGGGTGGCGTATTAGACGTTTATGGAGAACTAAAAAGCGGATCATTTTGAAAATTTGGCAACCGGGATAAACGACCATGATCTACACTTTAAAAATATTTTTGACCATGCGGTGTTGCCGCTTCTACTCTAAACTAGTGGCAACATCACTATTTTAAATGGAACACCCCATATTAAATTGCATATTTGGATTCTACGTAAAATTCTGAGCAGATTTCTTCTGATATACCCTATACCTAAGTTCAACTGTTTTGGAAATATTGACAGTTGAAAATTGACTTTTTGCAACTTTGACAGGCTGTAAAAACTAATAGGCTCGTACAGCTTTTTTTTTTATTACATATTCTAAAAGAGCGTATTGAGTTTAGCAGTTGTGCAAAATTTCATAATTTTCCGAGCCCTTGTTCATATTTAAATAAATTATCAAAAAGCTCCAAATTTGAAAGTTTTGAAACACGCGGTGACGTCACTGCATCTCTCACGTTAGTCGTGTGACGGCCTTTAGCCCGTCTTGACTCGAGAGATGACGTCATACCATCTCTAAGCGATGAATTTCTGAGGCATAATGTTTTATTATTCAAAGCCGCATAACTTTTTTAATATTTATCCAATTGCGCTGAATTTTTTTTTGTGTGCTATATGTGAGTAATACTCCATAAAAATATCAAAAAACGTGGTTAATGAAACCTCACTGAACGAGCCTATTGGTTAATTTTAGAGGAAAACCAATTTCAATTCCTATCTTAGATTTTGATAAACTATCATTTGACACCAACTTTGAACTTTACCGGAGATTAAATTTAACTGAAATTTTTAATCATGGATTTAATTCAAAGATGGTGTCAAATGATAGTTTATAAAAATCTAAGATAGGAATGTAAAATCGGTTTTCCTCTAAAATTAACCGTTCAAAGTTGTAAAAAGTCAATTTTCAACTGTCAATATTTCCAAAACAGTTGAACTTAGGTATTAGGGTATATCACATGAAATCTGCTCAGGATTTTACGTAGAATCCAAATATGCAATTTAATACGGAGTGTTCCATTTAAAATAGTGATGTTGCCACTAGTTTAGAGTAGAAGCGGCAACACCGCATGGTCAAAAATATTTTTAAAGTGTAGATCATAGTCGTTTATCCCGGTTGCCAAATTTTCAAAATGATCCGCTTTTTAGTTCTCCATAAACGTCTAATACGCCATCCACCGTGTGACACCCTGTATATGCTAGTACTGCTATTGAAAAAGTCGATGTTTTTAGTATAGTGGGCTTTTATATTTTATATTATAAATTAAAGGCCAGCAGTTGGCCTTCATTCTCTAGTGGCCCGTAGGACATGACCTAATTGTCCTAACGGATAAAGTGTCCCTGCTCATGTCTCTGCTTTACACAAATCAAAAATCGCAATAAAACGTAGTGTATATGGCATTGGCCTCCATTTTGAATTTCTTTCTGACAGGTCGTTGGATTGCCCTATTCTTTGACATTCAATACCTCTAAGATCAAAATCCTCAAGTTTAAATGTACTACTGAGGATATCTACCTGGAAAATGAACCCATCACTACGCCAATTTTCAATAAATTCCTAGGTTTGTCAATAGACAGTTCCTTTAAGTTTAAAGACTACATTGCAAAAGTATGCAACAAAATTTCGTCTGCTTGCTATGCCCTCAGAGCTATTGCTAATAACCTGAATTTCTCCATTGCCAAATTTGCGTACTTTGCGATTATTGAGTCCCATCTTCGATAGGAAATCGGCTTCTGGGCTTCTTGTTCTGACTTTCTTTTTAATTTAGTGTTCTTACTCCAGAAAAGGGCCATCAGATACTTGTGTGAAGCCAAACCTCGGGATTCGTGTCGCCCTCTGTTTCTGAGCCACTGTATTCTAACTTTGTGTTGTCTGTCTATTCTGGAAACGGCCTGTTTAGTCTTCAGGAATTATAAGTGCGAATTGGAGACAAGAGTCAATACAATACGCGCGGATTACGTGATGAGGTTGCCTATCCCCAATGACCTACAGCCACAGATAGACGGAGCTATAAACAAAAATATATGTTGACAACAATGTCTGATTCTTTCTTTCCTTACCAAACTCACCCACTACTAAAATGCCATATTTAGTCGTTGGAATATTTATTCTCTTTTTCTAACGCGGGTATGAAGTTCTGCGAATCCTGCTTTTTAATTACACTTGGCAACCCATCACTAGACTGAACTCCGCCTCCTGCTTGTCATAGAGTAATACGTTCCGTTCTTGCTCAGCGTATCTTGTTGTTTTTATCTTATGCGATGATGATTAGTATGTTAAAGAAGACCAAACATAAGATATATTCGTGTTAATCTGGAAAACATTTCGAATATCATCGTTTTGGTTTTGGAGTGGGTCTGGTTGGTTGTGGTCATTGCCGTAACTGTTGACCAAAACAATACCATGTGGTCAGGGAGGCGGGACTTAGATTGGACGACGTATCCCTATTACAAACCGCCCGCACCCCAAACCCTCCTGTCCTATAAACATGTCAACACAACAAATAGTATTTTATGAATAGGATACTCTAGGCCTATTCGGGTTTGAAAAAAGGACGGTTCTAGAACGGTTCAAAACAATCATACAGTTTATCAATCAACAAAATAACAACGACTCGGCTATCATGAATTTCAATAATAAACTGTGCGATTCTTTTGGACCGTTCTAGAACCGTACTTTTTCCAAACCCGAATAGGCCCTCTGTCTATCTGTGGTTGTAGCTCATTGCCTATCCCCCACTCAGAACTCATCCGTAGCTCTATCATATATGAAGGGAGAAAATTATTCAATAAACGCCCTTTAAAGATAAGAAAGCTCAACAGTGAAAAGAGGCTTCATATAGAAAGAAGTAAAGAAATTTTTGACGGGTAAAGCATACTACCGTTTGAACGAGTTCTTAAAGCTCAACTTATAAACTTGCAGTCGGGTTCCGTTTTCGTCTGCGTCCGCCTCGCTGGTTACCGTAGTCTCTTATGCTGACGGCGAACCGTGGGGCCGACCGCGAGTATAAATGATTTTATGGGATTTCTAAGATTCAATTGGCTCGACGCAAACGCAAACGGAATCTCGACGGTGAGTTTATACATTGGGCTTTAATGATAATGATGTGACCTAACGTTTTACGTATTTTGATCGTTCTTTCACCTTGCCTAGTCTTGGCTGTTTATTGTAATGTTTTTATTTTTAGATGTTTATTGTAATGATTTAATTTACGTATCCTTTATATAGGGTTATCCAAGTTCACCTTGACAAAATAAATTTAAAAAAAAAGGACACCAAAGATTGAGATTGCGATAAAGTTTTTATGGCATTATAAAGTGTGGTTATTGCCATTATGTGTGAATTATAATATCATTTGAATATCCTCCAAGAGGCCTCCTGCAGGATTCAATCCTGTTGAGGTAATTTTGGCACATTTCAGGCATATTCTGGTCATAACTTGACGAATATTGTTTTTCAACGCGTCAATCGTTAGAAGGTTGTTCGCATAAACACGATCTTTCACATATCCTCATAAGAAGTCCAACGGTGTTAGATCACAGGACCGGTGTTAGATCACAGGTGGTAAAAATATTTAGGTAGGTACTAACTTTGAAAAAAAAAAAAAATTCAATTAATGAAGACTTAACAGTTGAATCGTTTGCGTAATACAATTTCCTTCCATAGGTTTCAATTATTTCATCTCTGTGTGAAGCAAATGTCACGAAAAAAAAACAAATGAATACAAAACACCTTTTTTAATAAAAATACACAAATACATATACAAATCTAAGAATATTTCAACCTGTAGGCAATGATACCAGCCAGTCCAATAATGACACCAATGGTGACCCAAACGTGAATCTGAAACCACATTTTCATCTAATCAACTTTTTGGGGTACTGGGATCTTTTTTAAAATTGGGGAAAAATTATTTTGGCAACATTGCACTGTTTTTCTAGAGTCTAGAGACCATTTTAATTTCCAACTTTATTTAATGTTGAAAGATAACCGATATAGTTAGGCATTAAACTTCATCATAAATCCAAGCATTGAAAAAGTCAATTCCTTTAAAAGTAGAGACTCTTCCCATGTAAAGCAAAATATTAATTACATATAAACAAATGAGCTTTTGTTTTAAAAAAGATTCAACAGTCAATGTTGCCAAGCCAACTGGAAAAAAACTACTTACTTTGGAGGTTTCCTGGTTTTTCTGTGGTTCAATTTTTCCTCCAAACATCCTCTTGGCATACTCCTTTTCTGACTCCTGCTGCTTTCTAATCAAATTATCCACATATCTCAGCTCTTTATTAATCAACCCGTCATTAGGCTCCAACTTTTGAGCTTTTTTCAGCAATGCTTTGGCTTTATGGGCATCATTTTTAACCAAAAATATTTTGGCCTTTCTATATAAAGCCTTGACATTGTTTGGTTGATGTTGTAACACTATTTTTAGTGACACCAGTGCTTGGTCATGAAGATCCATTTTGATTTGTGCCACTGCCAAGTTGTTAAGTATCTTGAGTCTGTCTTCTAGCAAGAGTTGTAACTCAAGATCTGTAGCAGAGGAATTAGGACTGTCTACAACTTCCAAAAAGTCCAATGCAATTCTATAACACTGTATAGCCTGAGTGAATTCTTCTCTCTGGTACCACCAATTGCCCTTCTCTCGTTTTTTCTGGCCAACCTCTTGTCTTTCTTCAAAGCTCATTTTCTCACAGTCCAATGCCGACTGGATGTCAACTAATTCCAAATCGAGAATTATAGTGGCATCAGAAGGAATATTTGGTGGCAAGCCTTTGGAGCCATAAGCCAGCCTGGGTCCTATCTTTAATAAGCAACGCTCTCCTCGATTCATCAAGCCTAAAGCAACGTCCATGCCTTGGATCACATCGCCTTCTCCCAATGATATTTGGTTATTCTTTTTTGTTTCAATAATATCCCCATTTGGTAGGCTCAGCACGAAATTGATAGTTAATATTTCTGAACGTGATCCTCTTGAATCTGGTTCTCCTGGACTTATTATTTTCTTCATTATAACACCAGAGCCCAGTAGATCTTCCCAGTTATATGTTGGTTCACTTGGAATAATTTCCAGTGGCTTGTTTCCATTGTGATTATTTGTATTGTCTTCTGTTTCCTCAAGTGGATATTGTACTTCTTCATATTCAGTTAGATCTGGTTCTTCTAGATCATCAACATATTGGGAAAGTTGTTCTGAGGCAATACTGAATATTAGTCTTTTGATGGCAGTTTCTAGACATTCCTCTGCAAGTTTTTTGGAGTCGAACGACATTATTCGTGTAGGTGCTAAAACAGATACAGATAGTTTTTTCAAGCTGTTCATTGATTTTACATGTTATATCATTATAATAGCTTTTTTCGCAGAGACGATCCAGAATGCTAAGGCATGGCCTACGCAGGTTTACTAATCATGGAGATATGAAACTTATAGTACCTACATAGGTCTTGCCTTAGCGTTCAGGATACGTTCGAGATGGTCTCCGCGGAGAAACTAATATTAGTCTTTTGTCATGAGGGATAATTATGAAGCTCGCTCTATAGTAAGTTAAACTGCTTAAAAACAGAAAACCAAAACTAAGTGCTTATTTTAGGGTTTACTCAATTATCAAAAAAACAACTCCTAAACAATACTTCAATTATTGGTATCTGGTATAGGAGCACACATGCAGTGTGTCTTGCTTAAGGGCTGACCACCCTTCTAAAATTTTTATTTTTTAACTGATTCAATTTAATTATTTTTTGTCTTATATCTACTCGAATTTGGCACTTATTAGGCTCATAATTTTATTTCTATGGCTGTACTGGTGTACAGGGTGTCCACATTTATAGGCTCAAATTTCAATAACTGGTATTAGAGATTTTTTTAGAAAAAATCTGATAGCAGATTTTTGTTTAGAATAGTCTGAAACCCAAATGTACTAGTTTTTGTTTCAATACGATACAGGGTGATGACTACAATTTAATGAATCATACCGTAAAAATGTTATATTTTGAGAAAAGCTTACTACAAGTTTTGGTTAGAGATGTTCGAAAACTATGTTGTATCAAGTTTTGTTGTTCTCAAGGCCTCAAAAGTCAAAATATGTCATTTTTCCGGTTTGGTCCATTAAATTTTGAAAATTTGTTGTGATCACCCTGTATCATATTGAAACAAAAATTAGTACTGTCACGGCTCTGGCTTGTGTGACAGAAATCTTGGGTTCCTTTATTCCAAAATCAAAGTCCAATTCACACAGCAATAATTTGTTCCAAGGAGGGTTGGCATGATTTAAATCAAATTATTTAAATAACGATTCAAATCATGATTTAAATCAAGTGATTTTCTTGAAAAAAATCAATGATTTAAATCGATTTTTAGAAATTGAAAATATATTTGTTTATTTTGATACATATACATATATAAATGGGATAACCAAAGAGGATTTAGTAATTATTAGGAAATTTCTGACTGCAATACCATCCTCGGCTAGGGTAGAGAGAATATTTTCAACCTACATATTATAATCTGCCATAATGATTTGAGAAATCGACTTTGCAATGAAAAGGCCGAAAAGCTGGTATATTAAAAAATCGGAATAATTTTTTTTTATATACAGAGTGAGTTTTATGTATGGAAACGCCCAATTATCTCAAAAACGGCTTGCTCGATTTTTATAAATTTTGGTATGTGAGGGTATTGTTATATGGCCGATATTATCGTGCCATTTACATGGTTGTCAGATCATTCGATTTTTGGCAACTATTAGGAACTTTGTTATTTCAAATGGATCACCCTGTATATTTTTCAGTTTTCGTAATCCCTGAATAATACTGAATATTTTTCATGAAATGTTTCCTATACCCAAATGCCTTAATTTAGGAATTATAGCTACATTTACATTAAAAACCGCAAAAGTTGAAATAATTCATTGGCTTGTCCCGCGTGATGAGAGCTCGTCGCGGGAGCGTCTCGTCATGTCTGTGCACACCTTAAGATCTCTATGACTACAAAAATAATAGCTTTCACGTTTCAGTAAATTATTATTTGTCAGTTTTCATTGAATGTGATAATGAATCGTTTATCTGAAAAAGAACGAATTGAGATTTTGATGATATTGGGATATGGTGATAGGCGTAGAAGTCAACAAGAAACGTGTGATATTTTCAATGATTTATATCCCAACCGCAATCCCATTACAAAATCAACTGTTAGTAAATTGCTTAAAAAGTTTACCCAAACTGCTGGAGTAAAAGATCTACCCAAATCAGGGCGCAGGAAGACTAAATCAACTGACAACAAATCTCTAGATGTTTGTGTCATGTTAGAAGACGATCCTCACTTGAGTACTAGGCAAATATCCAGGGAACTTGAAGTTTCTCAAACAACCGTGATGAGAATTCTGCATGGTAATAAATTCCATCCATACAAAGTGAGGTTGGTTCAGGAGTTGTCAGATGACGATTTTGATAGACGTGAGGAGTTTGCCGATACAATGATGAGAAAATGTTACGATCCAAACAATCCAAATTTTTTAAATAATGTTATGTTTAGCGATGAGGCCACTTTTCTTATCAATGGCAACGTAAATCGGCATAATTGTAGATACTGGTCTCGTAACAATCCTCATTGGATGCGTGAATCCCACACCCAATATCCCGAGAAACTGAATGTATGGGCTGGAATAATAGGCGACAGAATAATTGGACCGTTTTTTATTGAAGGAAACTTGAATGGTCCCGCGTATTTACGTTTATTGGAAGATAGTATTATACCTGAGTTGGCTCGGTTATTTCCAAATCCAAGTGAGTATTTTCAATTGCCTTTAAAATTAAAAAAAAAAATAATTTATTGAAACTTTCAGACAATAACAATATTCCCCAAAACAATATTTGGCTGCAACAAGATGGAGCTCCACCCCACTATGCCCGTGAGGTGAGACAATACCTAAATCGTTTGTTTCCCGGAAGATGGATTGGAAGGCGTGGATCTATCGAATGGTCTCCTCGATCACCCGACATGAATCCTCTAGACTATTTCCTATGGGGCCACTTGAAAAACACTGTTTATAAAACAAAACCTCTCAATATTGAGGAATTGAGAGATAGAATCACCAACGAGATAAGAAGAATAGAGCAGACAGGGATGTTGCAAAATGTATTGCAAAGTTTTAAAAATCGCATGGCTTGTTGTCTGGAAGTCAACGGACAACATTTTGAGCAGCTGCTGTAATGGGTTGGATAAATTTAGATTTTTCAACCCTCGTTGGGTTCATCAGATCACAATCCCAACTCCGCAACCTGTGAACTAGCTATCAAACCATGGTTCAATAAAAACTGCTCAACAGCGGGAAATTATAAAAATGCTGCTTATTGCAAATGGCATCGTAATCCGACAGCCTAAAATCTCAATACATTCTCACGACTAGAAACCACTGTAAGCAGACCAATGGCGAAGAAGAAGAAAAAAAGGCAAAAAAACAGTTCGGAGAAGTGATCAATTAATAGCTCCTGTCGAGTGCCAAGGCACCAGCACAAAAGCTAGGGGCGCTCTATAGAGCATCCCTCGAAAACTGTTGCTGACCTGGAGTTGACCAAATACCATTAATAGCCATAAACCTCGGGAAAAAGTGGTAGACCTATCACTATTCTATCGATATCATTACAGCAGGTGCTCGAATTAACTGACACTTGTGACTCTGCCCAGAGTTGTACCAAACAGATACACTCGTCAACACAAGCAGCTCATGAACATACAATTCAGCTGCGAACACCTAGGACGTCACTGTTCAGAAGTCAATTTGGTCTGGAGGGCTGCCTAGCTCTGGAATGAACTTCCAAAGGCATGAATACTTTTCTCGAAAACTATAACCTACAGCGCAATGTCCATCGACATCTCAGTGTACACGCCGCTCGTTGAGTGGTAAAGGATTTTCCGTTTGTGTGTGAGCCAACCATGAAAAAGTAATATTAAGATAGCTATTGTTTTCAGTTAATTTAGTTTTCCTGCGCCCAGATTTGGGTAAATCTTTCATTGCATCAGTTTGGGTAAACTTTTTTACCAGCTTACTCACAGTAGATTTTGTAATGGAATTTCGGTTGGGATATAAATTATCTTGTGGACTTCTACGCATACAACCATATCCTAATAAAATTAAATTAAATTAAAATCTTAATTCGTTTTTTTTTTTTCAGATGAACGATTCATTATGGTATTCAATGAAAACTGACAAATAATAATTTACTGAAACGTGAAAGCTATTATTTTTGTAGTCATAGAGATCTTAAGGTGTGCACAGACATGACGAGACGTTCCCGCGACGAGCTCTCATCACGCGGGACAAGCCAATGAATTATTTCAACTTTTGCGGTTTTTAATGTAAATGTAGCTATAATTCCTAAATTAAGGCATTTGGGTATAGGAAACATTTCATGAAAAATATTCAGTATTATTCAGGGATTACGAAAACTGAAAAATATACAGGGTGATCCATTTGAAATAACAAAGTTCCTAATAGTTGCCAAAAATCGAATGATCTGACAACCATGTAAATGGCACGATAATATCGGCCATATAACAATACCCTCACATACCAAAATTTATAAAAATCGAGCAAGCCGTTTTTGAGATAATTGGGCGTTTCCATACATAAAACTCACTCTGTATATAAGTACATAGTATTATTTTCATTTTTTACAAAAGAATTATTTACTTTATTTTGACTTTTTTTTTTCTCTTTACTAAGTTTAAGGGGCAGGGTAATAGATAGGTAGGTACCTTATCTACATAACACCTCTACCTATCAAATATTTTTATTTATGTTTTTTATTTTTGCTTTCAGAAATTACCGTTTATTTACTGTTGTGTTTGTTGAAACTATTTATTTATTAATAAACATTAATACATTTTTATTTTTATTATACTCTATATACCTACTCTTATTATATACTCGTGGACAAAATTATTGTACCACTGCTTTTGTGGTGCTTATGTGCAGTGGTGCGATAATTTTGTCTAGGAGAAGGTATACTATATTTACTGCATCATTCATTGTTGAAACTAAATTACCAATAATTGATCAAAAATTAATAAAGCCATTTAATTCAATTGCCTTACGATAATCTAATAGGTGCGCTCGGAATTGTGCCAATCGCTAAGGAAGGATGACAATCTTGGTCTGTTCCTATATGCAATCTTGAATGCATTTTCAAGAGCAGACCTAAGGAAGATGAAATCTTTGGCGCTCCCTGCGATATTTGTAAAAACGTCTTATGCAAGAAATGCGCTGGGCTTACCACTACAGAGGCGC